CTCCCTCTCTCTCCCTGCAAGGTCAACATCTGCGCTGCAGAGGAGGGCAGGAGGTTCCTCCTGCTTGCTGAGAGGTGAGGAAGCTGCGGCTCGCCCGGCAAGAATTGGGAATGAGGGGCAGGAGGAGGCATGCACACACCCGCAGCTCACTTTCCCAGCTTTTCCCAGCCCTCGCGGCTCTGGCGCGGCCCTGGCAGGATGAGCGGAGGGTCCGGCGGGGAGGCGCTCGCTGCCCTCTCCTCCTCTCCTCCGCAGCGCAGACGTTGACCTTGCAGGGAGATAGAGGGAGAGATCCTCTCGGGCGAGCGCCTTCCCCCACAGCCCTCCACACGAAAGGAGGACCCGCCGGTAGGGAAAACCAAGCCGCGGAGGCGGGAAGGATGGGCTGGCGGGCGCTAACCTCGCTCGTTCTCCCCGCGTCGGGCTAAGGGTGGTTTCCACTGCGAGCGGCTCAGACCCCAGGGCACCTTCCACCTTCTCCTCCTGGAGCAGCCCAGCCCAGCTCCCGCATCTCCACCGCCCGCCCCGCGTGCGCTCTTTCGGGGCCGGCCAAAAGAGACCCAGCGCCGCGCGCCAAGAAATCGCACACACACACACCAACACCCTTCCTTTCCAGCCAGTGGTGTGGATCAGCTCCGGAGCTGGGCAGCTGCTTCCCTGCTCCTGACTCAGGGGACCTCCGAGGGGAGAAGAAGGAGGAGAAGAAGGGGGGAGGGGGGGCGCGATGAAAAATCGGAATTCCGATTTTAATCGGAAGAATATCATGTATGATTGTTGATAGAAATCCAGAAGAACACCTGCAATAACACTCTCCCGTGCTCTTCCCTCTATCTTATCAGGTTGCAATGTCTTTGAAAGGGAGTCTTTCACAGCTTTCTCAGCTTCATCTAAGATATTTTCAAGCCTCTAGTTGGCAGTGTTACAAACTTTCTTTGGTCTCACTTTCCCCCTCCTTTCCCAGACAAAACGTAATAGAAGTTAAAAAAAAAAAAGAGAAAGTATATAAGAAAAAAGCCAGTCCAGTTAACAAATGCTAAATCGCAATAGAAGTCCAGTAATAAAAAGAAAGAAAGTAAAAAGCCAAGCCTCACTTTGACGTTTCCGTTTAAAAACCGCCGCTTATTCAGTTCTGTCAAAACTTTTACAGATTTTTTCTTTTCCTTAGGGTATCCTTTTAAGTCTTAGAATGATAAAAAAAGCTCTCACCAAACCGACAAACTTTCTCTTCCAGTCTCTTCTGTTCCGGAGCTGTCCCAACTTCAGCAGCTTTAATGGCTGCCTCTCTGCCGCTGGCAAGAAGGGCTTCTCCTGGATCAACCAGGGACTTTGTGATATTCCTGGGATCCACAGGATGCGTCCTTCACTATCACCGTCTCTATGGGACGGTTTAGGTCCGTTTGGACCGACCGGGGGCAAAGATATCGGCTGCAATCTCAGACCTCCGAGATTGCATGCCGTATCGTCGCGACGTCAGCTCCGCCATCAATATGTGGTGGACTTGTGAGGATGCTAGAAAATATTGGACTAAAATCCACATGTGGTTGGAAAAAATGATAAAGAAACATATAGACTTGAAACCAGAGATTTTTTTATTGGGAATTTTACCTGATACATACAGTAAAGATTTAAAATATTTGATTGTAAATGTATTAACAGCGGCTAGGATTGTATTTGCTAAAAATTGGAAAAATGAGAAAATACCATTACAGGAGGAAATTATTAAGAAAATATTGGAATGTGCTGAAATGAGTAGATTGACATTTGAAATTAGAGAACAAGAGGATAAACAATTTTATAAAATTTGGGACCTTTTCTATCAATGGTTAGATAATAAAATATAATAATAGAATATCTAGATTTTTAGAAAATAATGAATATATAAAGATGTATTTCTTTCTTTTTTGTTATATCCATAAAATGTTTTTAGGATAGATTTGGGAGGATTATATGAATTGTTATAAAATAAACTAAGTAAATTATAGTTATCTCGCAAAGTATGAATGAATAAAATTATAGTCAAATGATTGTTTAATAGTGACACTAGGGTATTCAATTTTTGATTGATAATATGAGTTATTATGCAATGTAACTGTAATTGAGACTATGAAATGGATGCACAAAAAATTTGTAAACTGACACACTGCCTGTATATTTATGAAAGAAAGCTGGATGTTTTTATGTTTTGTTTGTTTTTGTTTGTCTTTAAAAACCAATAAAACTTGTTTGTTTTTTTAAAAAAGATTTTATTAGTTTGTATTTGAAAATCCAAAAATATTTTAATCTGCTCATGTTCAACTATATTTTCAATTATATGTTCCCACCAAGTTTTCATTATTGGCAGATAATTTTTACACATGTTCCAGTGAATCATTTCGGCAACTGTATTGTGCCACTGTTTTTAATCAGTTGTGCAATCTTTTTGCATGAGTTGAGTATCTGATCTGTTTTTTCTGCTTCTTTGCATCATCTGCACTTTGAATCATTTGATTAATTTTTTTTAAATTCTGGCCTTGATTCCATTAGTTCAAATAGCTTGCTTTTGAGCAGTCAAATCAATCATTCAGTCCCTTTTTGAATGTTCCAATTGTAAGCCATTGTCAGATTTGATTTTAATCCACTTTTCTTTTGATCTTTTGTAGAAATTGACTATGTAATGCTTTTCTTTGCCAGCATTCTATTAGGGTTTTTATTACATTTTTTTCAATATTCATGTTATGTTTCCTGTATATTTAACAAAATGTGATTTTTATCTTACATCTTTTTGGCTGCCTTTTACATAATCAGCCAATGCACACTATTTTTTCTTCAACCTTGACCTGAAGTAAATCTTTGCCTCCATTTCTGCAGGATAGGTATAATCTATTAATACCACTACAGGAATGTAAGGCATTGTGAATAGCCATAAGTTTTCTTGTTTTTTGGTCCAAATTGTTCAATTTGGCTTGTATTCAGTTAAATGATTCCTGCCGTGTATTGTATTGCAGGTATGGCCTGATGGCTTTGATGGTGTTTCCACTGTTCAGTTTGTTTTCTTAAGTTTTCGTGGGTACTTACATGTATGGTATTCAGCTTTGTTCGGGTATTTTCCCACGTCATTATAGTTGTGCTTTTAAAGTTGTAGCAACGTTTCGGCAGAATCTCATCTGCCATCATCAGGCTTCTGTATTGTGTTCATCTGTCACAGTCTGTCACATATATATATATATATGCAGCGAACTATGTTTATATTGCACCTTACCTGAACCCACAAACTCCGCTTGGGACAAGCTGAAAAGATGAGACGCCTTGGGAGTTGAAGTCCACAAGTCTTCAAGTGGCCAAGGTTGGGGACCCCTGCCTTAGCACCTTCCATGTGACCAAATGGCCCCAAGGAATTGACCCGCCTATGTCTATGCAAATAAGAAACCAGGATGACCCAAAGAACCTCGTTTTGGTCTCCAAACCTACACGCAGTCGTCCCTCACACCCCCCAGCGCTGCCCTGAATTGCTCCTCTCTGACTCTCCGCCTGGTAATTTTCACACCCGCACCCCACAACCTCCCCCGCCCTCCTCGGTTTGCCTCTGGGGACCCTCTGGGTGCTCCTTAAGCCAAAGCGCCCCTCCGCGCGAGCTCTCCTCTTCCCCCCACCGACTCCCCATTTCAAGATCCGCTCTCCTTCCCCGGAGCTTGCCTCGGACTCCCGTTTCCATGGCTACCCTTCCCCGCGCCCTGCCCCGCCGCTCCGTTTCCATGGAAATTCTCTCCCGCGGCTACGCGGGGCAGGGGCTCTCCGGACCCACTCGCCCTCAGTGCGCAGGCGCAGCCCCGGCCTAGGCGCTCTCTTCCGCCCGGGCCTGGCAGCAGCGAGCGGAGTCGGGGCCGGGATCTCCCCGGGCCCAGGTGAAGGAGTTGGGACGGTGGGGGCAAAAAAAACCCAAAAAAACAAAAAGGGGCAAGGGAGGCGCTTTGGCCGCCTTGTCCTCGGTGCCGACCCGGCTCCGGTGCTGAACTGACCCCGGCACAGGTACTCGCTTGTCGGCCAGCGGGCCTAGCGCGGGGCCAGCTCCAGATCGGGCTGGCAGTTCGTAGTAGGCGGCGGGCAGAGGAAGAAAGTCGGACTCCAGAGCTTCCTTTCTCTTCCCTTCTGGGTAGTGGCTGGCATCCCATTTCCAAGGCTAGATCTTTTCTCGTGGGGTCCTGTGGGCGAAGCTAAGGAGCTTCGCAGAGATAAGAGAGCAGCAGAACTCTTTTGCCTGGGAGAGTTCTCGTATTGGGGCTATTATTATTGGGGGAGGGCTGGGAGTCTTGGGGGCTTCGCACGATTAGGGGTTTGGGTGATCGTGTCATACTATTAATGTGATGCAACAATGGCTGAAGTGGTCCTGTGGTCTGGAAAGCGAAGCAATTCCTGAAATCTGGCCTGCCTTAGAATGACAGGGCTGAGCACGGATTTTATCCCTGCTCAGTTACCAAAGTAATTTGCTCCCCCATGTGTAGCTAGCTAATGGGACACCATCCTTAGTCAGCTCAGCCTTTGTTCTAGCCTTTGTCTTTTTTTCCGTTTTCTTTTTTTAGTGTCACCGATCTATCCTTCCAATACCTGGGCCAGGGCTGGGCAAGAGGCAGCCATGACAAGGTGAGAAAGATGAAAATCGAATTTGTACTGGTGGGTACCGAATACGTTGGTAGAATATATTATTACTTCTTTAGGACTTTCAGCCAGCAGTTCTTTCTTGGTGAAGGTGGGCAAATGGTTGAGCTAGAGGTGTTCTGTGTAAGGATGATGATGATGATGATGATGGATAATTGAATCTTGGATTGATTATTAACTTGGATTTAGAAATCCTGTATTCCCACAGCACATTGAAATTGAGAAAGTGGCATGTAACCGACAGTCAAGAAAATAATATATTGCTTACACTGCTATTTTTTTTCTTTGAAAAGACCTGAACATACCGAATGGTCTTAACTTTTGGAACCTAACACTTGAATTACAATTCCTATCAATCCAGACCACTGGCTATAGGGATTGAGGGGCATTGTAATCAGATTTGGGGAAAAGTGGCTGAAGTTACAATGTCCTGCTTTTTAAATTTTGCCAAAGATCAGAATTTTGTTGCCTATTTCCTTTTTTTTCTAGCTCCCCTGTTTCCAGAGTAGTTTACAATGGCAAGAGAAACAGCAGTCCTCGCTCCCCAAGCAACAGCAGTGAGATCTTCACTCCTGCACATGAGGAGAATGTGCGCTTCATCTATGAAGGTGCAGAGTGGGAAGCATTTGCTGCATTTCCGCTAGATCATGGCATATTGTGCCGCCTTCTATCTTGTATATTACTTATGTACCACATACCATTTTATCAAGTATTGGTGTCATTTTTCCCCATATCAAATGTTTTTTTAAAAACATAGGCATGAGTAAGTGGAGAAAAATTAATGAAAGTGAAAGTCTTTAAAAGTCAAAACATTTATACATGGATCTAAAGTTTGGGATTGACAGACCAACATTGTAAGTTCTGTATAGTGGGTCTTCTAATTGCGAACAGTATGCTTTCTTTGTTTTTTTAAACATTTCTTATAACATACCCTGTTTCTCCAACAATACGGCCTCCCCCAATAGGAAGTCCCAGCATGTTTTATAGGCATGAAATGAAATTAAGCCCCTCCCCCAAAATTAAGGCCTATATTAAAACATGCGAAATGGGGAATGGCAGGGGGGCTTGCCGTTAGGAAGTACTTTTGTTGCACACCCGGATATGGTGCTGCCTGCGTTGACCCCGATACAAAGTGCCCCACCAAAGCCGAGGTCAACATCCAAGCTGTCGCCACCCGCCCGAAGATGCAAGGGGCGGGGGGATTAAGTCACCCCCGAAAAGACAGCCTAGCCATTTTTTCGGGGCTCAAAAAAAAAAAAAAGACCTGGCCTTATTATATGAGAAACACGGTAGAAGCATTGTTAGTGTTTAGTTGGCTGATTCGGTCAGAAAGTGCTTCCTTAGTCTACATACAAAATATTTTCTTATCTTATTATTCTCCTTTTCTGCAGCATGGCAATCTGTGGAGCGGGATCTCCGCAGTCAGATGGCAGGTGGTGAAAGGGTTCTTGTAGAGGAATATGTGGAGAAGGTACCAAATCCCAGTTTGAAGGGTGAGTTTCATGCTGTCAGACACTTTCTTTTTCAATGACAAACTTACTGACATCCAGTAGAAATCTCATATTGTTTTATGTGAGCATGCATTTGAAGATAATTCAGAAGGATTCAATGAGTTCTCCAGATTCGTTGTTTATAATATATATTTTCAGTACTTTGTCATATTAATTGGCTTCTATTTACTGGGTTGAATTTTGTATATTCTAGTTGTCTTTCAAATGTCCAGATAGTCCAGAGTCATGATACTTTGGCATCTGTCTTTTTCAGTGTCAGCTAGCCCCTTTTCTTCCGTGAATTGCATGTTCTGTATTCCTTCAACTACACCCAGCTCAAAGTTGTTCTAGTAATTAACATTACTAGCATTAACATCAGTAATGAGGCAAATGGCTACATAAAATAACATCTTTCATATAATTGGTCCTAGACCTTGACATTTCCTTCTGTCTTAACTTTGGGCTTTGGCACATGGTGAAAACCATTGTTCACAATGAAATTAATTTGTGGCTGGTCATTGGTCATAGTTTCATATTATATAATCTACTATCTGCTCTTACTATTAGCTGGTTTGGATGTCTTAGTAATAGAATGGGGGAATAGAAGTGTTTTTTAAAAAAATAAATTATGTTGGAGGGAATAGTTCTGTGCAAATAGGCTTATGCAAAAATTGGAGATTCTTTTAAGATCTTAAAATCAATTTATTGAATAAAATATATCGGTATTTCTTTTTCTAGCAGTAAATAGTTTGCTATATGCAAATATGTGAGCCCCTAGATTCATAGCTATTAATCATAAGCAAGAACAAATAACTGTACCTGTCTTGGAGGTTTTAGTTTAAACTCCTATACAGAATAGAAAGTTAGACTTGATGGCCGAAGTAGTAGTATCTAATATCCCAGTATTATGATTCTAGTCCAACATTTTATTTATAATAATGATCAAATGAATGCACTTAGGAAATTCAGAGGAAAAGAACAAAGAATGGCATTTTTCTATATATAAACTTTTATTGGCTCTGAACATTCTTTGTTCTTACTTTTGATTAATAGCCATGCATTCTAACCTCTATGAATTTGATGATTCCATAAATTCAGATATGCATTTGAAAAGACACTGCATTTAACCTTGCTCAGTTTTATGTTAAGATTTTCTAGTTTCACAGTTTAGATTATGATTCCTAGGTAGAATTTTCAACTCTTTAGATATATAGTTGGTTGCACTGTTGTGAAAATAGCTATCGATTCTTATACTGAATAGAACTTACAGTGGAACATACAAATCTTTAAATAGATGCCTCGGTTATCCGTAGAATACTTCAGAATTTAAAGTATTATTTAAAGAATTTAAAGTATTATTAATTAGGTGATGGTGGGGAATCTAGTAATTTTCTTCTTGCTAAAGTCAGTAGGAAGAAAATAACATGGGAAATCTGGAATTTTATCCTAAATTTTCTTCCTTTATTTTTTATTTTTTGACAGCATTCAAACCTGTTGACTTGAGCGACCTAAAGCGACGGAACACACAGGACTCGAAGAAATCCTAAAGTGGCTTGGGCTGGCCCAGCCCCAGTGCTGGCATGTGGCCACTGGTACATGAATTTGATAACTTTGTGTTGGTTTCCTCCTTAGGTCTGGATTGTGCCTGGGGCTGGCTCTGAATTTCCTAGGAAGGATTGGCTTTCTGCCTCTTCTTCTTAGCATTCCCTGGCCTGGGCTGCCTGTCTTCATTCTAGAATTGAGCCCAGGAGTTCCTTTTCCTTAGTAAATGACATTTTAATCTGACGATAGCCGAGCGGCTGGCATGTGTCCTGTCTGTCTACATGTGAAATAAGACAGAAACCTTGGGAACCACCAGACCTAGACTCTCCCTAAAGCCCTCCCAAAACCCAGCTCTTCTTAGGGAAAAGCTGAGAGGCTGATGGGAAAGAAGCAGCCGTGGTTATGCAGTCTATTCTGCCAATACAAACCAGGAGGTTTTAGACTGCTAATACTTGAGCTTTTGGTCTGAAGAATGGAACAGTATTGCTCAGCCTGTTGGTACAGTGATGATGAAGAAGAACTGAAAAATAGAAGCGTCAAGCCCAGGACAGTTTCCCAAGTGCAAACTTTTTGAGATTCAACTGTATCTGGATAAATCTGACTGGTCTCCCTTACCACGTGCTGAAAAGGTGCACCAGATTCCATGGTTTTTACACCTTGATGACTAGCAGCCCCAGCCAGGGGGGAGGTGGCATTTCTGAGCTAGCCCCAGAGCCCAGCC